CAAAATAGAGATGGGGGAATGCAGCAAGTCAGTATTTTTGCCTGCTCATGTTCTTATGGAAATGAATGTGTTTTGTCCCTCACAACCTCTCAGATTTGCAGGGGGAGATTTGGTAAGATTTCTTAGGGCAATAAAATCACACTGAAATTAGAAATAAGTCATAGTGTGATGCCCCAAAGCAACAGTGAAGCATCCTAGACCATAACAATGCTGAAATGGATAGCATGTAAGTAGGAACTAAGGAGAACTTCCAAGGATATGCAGTGATGATGAACCTGGATAGGAAGCAAGGCAGGGTGTCCTTGCATACAGCCAGTGCTCCTGTGGATGTACAATCTCATTGCAACACCAGCCTTGGTTTTAGGTTCAGGATCTAACTAGATGCTGTGCAGGAAGCTAAAGAGGTGGAGTTTCATGAATTCTGCAAAATAAATCTTTTTTCCTAGGAACTGTTTGGCTGCAAGTAACTTTGCACTGGAATTTCTCAGATCACCAGTTCCAACTTCAGGAACTATCTCACTACATGGATTGGGATTACTGATTTAACTGGAAACTGGGCAAAGCTGCAGCACCTACAGCTGGGACAGGGACACATCCTCACCCAGAGCACATGGGGGAACCACAGGGAACGGTCATTCTCCACTGCACAGGGAGTACTGGAAGAAAGAAAGTGACAAGGCAGGAAAAATACCAAGAGGAAAAAGTTGAGCCATGGCAAGACCCCTTTCCCCATGACAACAACAAAGTCTGCATGACAGTGTTGTTCCTCCTTACACACTCCCAGCTGCCAAGGACCTAAATCTCAGAGCCCTTCTGCTCTGGGCACAGCTGCCTGGGAACTCATTTTGGAGTTAGCAGACTGGAGGGTGATGAGAAAGGCAATCCTACCTTCTTACCCGGGGAGCGGATTAAAATGAAACGGTTTTTCCTTTTTAGTAGTGCACGCAGCTCCTGGCACTTGTCATAACTCTCCAGTTCCACTGTTTCTATGCACTTCTGTTCATCCTGCAGAGAGGGAATGAAACATCATTATGAATAGGAGGCACTGAAATCAATCATATACCAGCAAACTCTGCACGTCTTCCCCTTGCATCTATCTAAAAGCTCTTCTGCCTTAAAAATAACCTGCATGCAGACAGCAAACCCCATAAATCAGGCTGGCACCTCACTAAGAAAACACCCTAGTCTTTAAGCTACAGTCCTAGTGGTCCACAGTGGCTGAGCAAATAACAGGTTATGGACAGTAACACCAGCTTCTGCCATAGCTGTTGGCCTCATCCAGGGATCTGCAGCCAGAAGTGACACTACTTCCTCCCCACAATGAAAGGAGGAGATGTGATCCTGCTTCTTCACAGGGAAGATGACACAAGCGTCACCATGGTCCAAGCAGCCCCCCAGGAAGCCCAAGGCAGAGCAGGGATAAGAGGGGAGCCCGGCTGCCACACTGAGCTGGGGCGGCTGCTCCTCATGTCAAAGAGGTCAGTGGGAGCCACGTGCGATGGACAGAGTCCTCTCACAGCCACGCTCCGAGCTGTCAAAACGCTTAGGGTTGGAAATACGGTCCCACAGAGCCAGCAGAACTGTCTGGGCCAGTGTCTCAGCAGGGAATATTTATCTCTGGAGTATCTCCACTGATGACTGCAGGCCACGATCTTGGCTCATTTTTCCCAGTAACATAACTAAGATTCCACACGTGGTGCGTGGCTCGGTTCAGCTGCGGAGCACCATCCCTAATAGGAATCGCAGCGTAACGCTGGCCAGATAATATTCTTCATGTCTCAGTAGCCCAGCAGAGACCAGAGCTCCCTTTAGCTAAGCACAAATGAGCAGTGAGAATCTCTGAGCAGCTCTTGCCAGTGAAGTGCTACAGTCAGCACAGCCCATGAACCTCTCTGGTACCATCCCAAATTAAAACTGCTGGCCATAACCAGCCCCAGCTCAGGCTCTGCTCCCAAGGCAGTTCCTTGCACCCGTATGACTTTGTATTTAGCAATTCCTGTAGCGGAGAGGGGGTGTGGGATGAGGAAACATGTCGTAGCCAGGAAGCTGCTGCGTGGCTGGAGGCAGGGAATGGAGAGTTCAGAGGGAAGTGGGCTGCGGGGAATTTCCTCCTTTTACCACTTGACATTTAAGTTGCTGTGCAGAGCCCAGGCTGTGTTTCAGTTTTCTTAACCCTCCTACCTGGGGATGGGGGCCCGGCAGAGCCGATGCCGATACACAGAGCAAGGTCTGAGCCACCGAGGGTTGTCTGGATCTAATTTAGGTTTATTATTTTAATGACATTACTGTTTATGTCATTTAACACTGAGTAGGTGAATGTGAACTGGGAAAATGCATACTAGGAGGAGGAGATTAATCCTACCCAAACCTAAAACCCAGCCGATAAAATCCTGCTGACGCTACTGAGCCCTTTGAAGGCTCCTGCTGCAATCCTGTATTGCAATGTCACTGCAAAAGGACAGGGATGGAAATAATAACCCCTCAGCGGCCCACAAATGACAGAGAAGGGTGAGGTCAGGAATACATGCCTCAGGGATGGGTGATCTCATCCTGGCCTTGGGTGGATGACCGCCCACGTTCCAGCCCTGCCGCGGCCGGTGCAGCTCCAGCTCCTTCGCTGGGCTCAGGATGTGGAGGGCTTGGCAGCGCTCCGACCGGAGACCAGCACCACGGCTCCTGCCCACCCTCCCCACTCTCAAGAGCAGCACTGTCCCCAGCAGAGCCCAGTGGCTCCCTGTCACCCTCCTTGTCCACACCATCCTTCCTGCCTTTTGGAACTTTGTTCCCGTGCAAGCCGTCCTCCACTTCCTAAGGACTGTGGAGCACTGAGCTGGGGAGCAAGGAGGACCTGGCAGGGTGGAGAGCTGTGGTTTCACTATGAAATTGCCTCTTGCCTTCCAGCTGCCCCTCTCCTCCCTGGGGAGGCCCTGGGGACTGTGGTCTGACCAGGGAACAAGGGCAGAGAGGACAGGGACATGCAGGACCCTGTCTCCCAGGGACACCGGTTTGAGTGTGCAAGCTATGGCTCCTTCCTCTCAGGGACCTGAACTTCCCAAGTGAGTTATCCTCTTCAGGGAGGGAGGGGAAGAAAGCAGCCAGAGAAATATAAAAACTCCAAGTCTGAGGCAAAGGCAAAGCATCTGAGTTCAGGGAGCACCAGAATAGGGCTTTTGTCTCTGTTTTACCCTTGGCAAGCAGCCATCCCCTCTCCGTGAGCCTACCTGGGTCACAAAGAGATCCTTTATGTCTGTCCTGCACCACCAAGATGAAGAATGAAGAATGAAATACCCAACCCTGTCGCAGGTCTCCAGGTCCCTTCAACCTCCTGGGATGTGCAGGACACTCAGCATCACAGAGGTCACTTCCAGAGTCCTGCCCCAGCCTACAGGTGTCAGACACAGGCTCTGGACAAGCTCAGTCCTGGTACAGGAACCCCTACATTCCTGATTTAATGCAGAAAGACTATTCCATTAGCTATTCATGGAGCAGATCCTGTGACTTAAACATGTCTGTGTCTGTTGGTTTGGCCCTTAAGAAGAAAATTACTGAACACCTGGACACATTAATGCATGTGCTTAACCTAAGAATCACACTTGGCAAAGCTCCTTAATGAAAAGTTGATAAAAAGGGCGGAAAAAGACTCCTTGAAATTTTTATTTATATGAAGGTATAATGCTCAGCAAAGATCTCCTCACTGACACACATTCACGGGCTGGGACCCTCCATTCAGTGTAAAATGTCTAGATCTGAAATAATAATTTATTTCTGTACCTGAGGCTCTCAAAGTGTTTTAATAAATCACTTTTGGGTATACCTTGCTATTGCTTTACCAGAGGCAAAATACAGATGATAACTGCCTGACTGTTGAATGCCAAGTGGATCCTTTGACCTCTAAAAGACTTTGTCTAGTAGGATTTTTCCCTGTCAAATAATACACTTACAAAAAACCCCTAAAACAGCAAGAAAGCAACTCCAACCAGTAGCTACACTGTTTAGGGAAAAAAATCAAACCCAAGACTGATGCTTTCTAATCCATGGAGTGATGATATTGATCTGTTTAGTCTCTCTACATAGCATTGCCTGGTCTTCAGATGCTCTCTGTAGGTTTTTTTTATTCTGGCAAGAATATGTAGAGACAAGAAGACACGAAATCCCATTAGAAAATAACCTGCTTGGTTCTCTGTGGACCTGCACAGTAGTTTCTCAGGATCCCAGTATTTGCATCAGTGCCTCCTTTCCTGAGATTTGGATATGTAATTATTATACAAATATTTTGCTTAAATGAGTCTTCATTTAGGTGAGGGTACAGATGTAGGGTGCTGTAGATGGAGGCACAGAGACAACAAGAAATACATTTCCCTTCATTTCCCACCCGCTGAAAGAAACCTGAAGCCGGGTGGGATGACTTTCACCCCATCTGCTCCAGGGAACACAATAACTATTGGCCATTTGCCTTTAGGAGGTGGCTCTGCTTTAAACCAAACCCAAAGCCTGACTAACAGATACAACATGGGGAACACGCTCCCATGGCAGGTCAGGAGCTCATTCCAGGAGATTGCTATTGATGATGATAAATACAGAATTTGTGTGCTGCTCAGACTGTACTTTCCGGTGACACAGTACAACATTCCTTCCTGTATCTTGTGTTGCCCTCCCCCTCTGCTCTTGTTTTGCACCTAAACCTCAGCTACAAGTGCAGCCAGTCTCATGCAACTGCACCAACAGGGTGGCCTGCACAGGCAACAACTGCTAAAGGCAACATCAGCACCTCTTGGTGAAGGGCTGGACACGGGAGGGGCTGATAAAAGCACAGTGAGTCCAAGGCACTAGCAGTTCCTGGAAATCTGATGGGCTCAGACCAGCTGAAATACTCAGCCTCTAAACCTGCCCGCCCACATGGAAGCTGACCTCCCTCCCATTTAACCCATCTAATTTAGGATACATATGGAAATACGCCTGTATTTCTGTTGCCTGAGGTTTTATCTCCTCTCTTCTTCCAGGGCTCCAAGTCAGGAAGAACTGAACAACCACATTTTAAAATGTTTCAGCCTGAGGATGGCCTGGGATGCTGTGTCCTTCTCCAGGGTCACACAAAGCAGGTATTTGGAGAAGATCCAGGGGGGGAAATGGCACCTTGAGCTCCAAAAATACAAACCACCACAGCACACTGCACTGCAGACTCTGCTTACATGCTGGCCCTTCTCATCTCAAAAACTTAGTTCCCCAATTGTAAGATGGAGACAACCACACTGCCCTGACTCACGATAAAGGAAGATAAATACAGTAATAAACATGAACTGCCTCGATTCTGTGGCAACAAGACCCCTCCTGAGTGCAGAAAATTGCCATTTCCTTTGGTTCCCCTGTAGTAAGTCTGCACAATCACATGCTATCCTATTGTGCTACCAGATAATTTTGCAGCAATTTCCTCTCCCAAGACATCTGACTTCACTGTAAGCCAGTTTAATAGCCTATAGATATTAACATGATCCCTTATTTACAATAATGGGACCTTGCAGCTACTGTAGCTTACAGATGCAATTTATTACAGGATGTTACCACAATCCGCAGGCTACCAGAAAACATTATGCCTGGTTGTTACAAATGCCATTTTCCTTGTTTAGATAATAAAATAACCTTTTAAATGATTGGGATTTTTCCTTCTTCTGATTGTCTGTGAAAATTAATCTTACTTTAAAAGCCTCCTTTTCCCTTGTGGTAATGAGAGCCCCCATGTATCTTGTTTTTAAAGGCATGCCCTTTCCAAAAAACCTACGTCATATTCATAGATTTTGAATCTGCAAGTTCCTGAAGCTTCAGCAGAAGTCAACAGGTGTCCAGAGCACTGGAAAATGGTCTGCAGAGAGTCCACAGTTTGCAGGACCAGGCTGCATCCCTCTCTGTATGAGAACCCCTCCCGCTTTTCCTGCCTTCTGAGCTGTTCATCACCTGACATCGACTTCTCCTGTCATTATTCTCGTACTCTCCATGACATTTCATAGCTAAGAACAAACGCCTCCGGAAAGCTTTGGGATTTGGGAAGAGCAGGAGGGTTCAGCATAAGGGAGGAGGTAATACCCTTTCACCTAATCTGTTTATAACAAAATCTTCTTTATTAGGCAACAGTATGTTTTTAAAAAAAGAGAACCGAACTCACTGCTGGTCCTGTTGTTCCTGAAATCATCACAGCAATGCAGCTGCTGAGACATTTCCCCATTCTTCTTCCCTCGACACGCTGCACAAGATGCACTACGTGATTTTGCTTTTATATCATTCTGGTGCCCACACATGACCCAGACCCCCTTGGGTCAGACACCGCAGAGGCACATGGTCCTTGTGCAGACCATGCTGCCCCATCCTGCTGCACACACAAGCTTTGAGCCACCACATACCAGCAGGGCTCAGACTTATTCACCTCTCACCTCAAACCCCCCTCGGTTGAAGCTTGTGCTCTGCACTGAAATTTCTGATTTTTGGGGCAAACTCTGCTCTTGCAGAAGCTGTATCCAGCCCAGGAACTGAGGGCCTCACTCAGGAAAGAGCCACCTCTGCAGCTCGGCAGGACCAGCCCTGCACTTTTCATTCTTCTTGCCTGAAAACGCAGCACAGATTTCACTTGGCTCTTATTTCTCATTTGTCTGGAAACAGCTCTAATCGCAGCCATGAACTCAAGGCATGCAGTTTATCTGGGGAAGTCCAGGACAAGGCTCCCAGGGGTCCTTTGCTCAGAACTGGCTCAAGTAAAGGGAAAAGATGAGCCAAATCCAGACTGTGTCTCTGCTTAAGGAGGACAGCAAACACAATATCTCCCTGCATCCATCAGTGGCTAAAAGAAACCCTGAAGAGTCTGGTTAGCAACCATCTGAGCTGCTTGAGGGGTGCCAAACAGCTGCAGGGTTGCCTGCCATCCCCTCAAGCAGCAGGTGGGAAGTCAGCCTGCTACAATCCACTTTTATCCTTCAAAAGCCAAAACCACATTGCACATATCCTGCTTCCGCCCAAAGCTTTACTCCGTTCACCTTCTCACAGGATGTCCTGCCCCCCTCTTTTTTTTTTTTTCTTTGGCAATGGCACTGTCAAAATATTTACTGGCTAAAATATTTATGATATATAATATACTCAAAAACACAGCTGCTGTCTCTTTTTTACAGCATTTACCCTTCCTGGAGTAAACTGAAGAAGCCCTTTTGAAAGGAATGGGCTGCAGGGAAGAGTGAAAAACACAGGGACATACATGTGTCCCCAAGGGCCTGATCCTGCCCCTCACTGAAGGCTGTTAGCTGTGACCATACCTCGTCCTCGTAGACCACGAGCTGTGTTTTCCGTAGCTGGATGTAACGATCCTTCCACAATCCCAGGAGACCCCCACTGCTTTTCTTAATCCAGCCATATTTCTCTGCAGTTGGAGCAGACTTGGGTTTCTCTGACACCTCCTCCTTTGTATCCTGCAAGGAGAGAAGGGAGAGGGAATTATATTCAAAGCACTTTCCATGATGAGAAAGCCTTCCCAGAGAAGATCTCAGCACCCACCAAACGTGGTCCCTCCCTACCACATCACAAGGGAAAAGACTGGCATCTTCCAGAGGAAAACTCAGCCAGCTCACACAGGACTGGAGAGTGGGCACAGACCCCGTCCACCCCTGGGGACACTGTTGGGATGGCAGCAAGTCCACCTTGGACTGCCTCCTCTGTGCAGGTACTCCCTGCTCACTTGTGCACCAAGTGCACCTTGAAAATGAGCACCCTCCTCTCCTCTTTGCTTCTACACCTCTCTGATGAATCCCAGCAGCATGGATCCTGCTGGCATCAGTAGCAACACTCATATTTTAGCTCAAGGCCACTTCTGCAAGTTTCTCCTCTGGGTCTACATTTGGTCATCATGCCCAAAACAACTCCCATGGGCAAATCCACAGCATGAGGGCCAGGACTTCATCCCATCTGCACTAAAATGTTCCTGGCAGGCTCCTGCGTGGGAAGGACTGGCAGAGAAGACAGCACCAAGAGTGGGGGTGGTTTTTTTGTCCTCCCTTTAGCTCCTTGCTGTTTGTCACAGCCTGCTCTCGCCTGCCTGCAGCAAGCACGGAGAGCTCCACTGTCCTGCACTGGGATGCTGCTGGTTTTCCAGATCTGGTAAAAACCAGGAGACGCAGAACTTCCCTGCATTGAAGAAACCATCAGAAAAATCCAGTATCAACATTCTCGTCAGAGACAGGAAACCTAAGACAGGGAGCAGGTGCAGTTGGGCTTATTAGCTGATGCCTTCACCAGCAGACTAGTTAAAGATGAGAGCTTTCCTCCTCTCCAGTGTGCTGGAAGAGCCTTTGCAGAGGCAGGATCCCCCCCATATCCCCTCCCTTGGAGCACCCTGCTTCTTCCAACATCCCATGGACCTCTCAATAAGCCTCTTTCCCTCAGCAAGGTGAGGGGAATCCCTCGCTGAGCCAAATCCCCGTACACAAACACCTTGCTAACCATGTGACTTGTCAGGAGAGGCCAAGCCCAAATCCTCCAGCCTCCTCCCAGGAACCCCACTGTCCCCTAGACTCAGTTTCCTCCATGTCTTCACCTCTAATAGCAGCAATCCTGCTGCAGAAAGCCGGCACACAAAAAGAGGATGAGTGACAAAGGAGAGTCCCAGACATGCCAAAATGGCCCTCACTGCTCAAGCTGGACTGGCTGGAGCTCAGACATCTTGTTTCATAACACGAGGAAATCCCGCACGAATGGAAAGGAGTTGGAGCTGGACACTCCCATGGCCAGGACAGAGAGAGTAGAGATGGATGAGCTCCAAAAATTCGGAGGAGAGCCTTGCTGATGAATCTGTTTCCATGCACCAGACTCCCAGTGAACACACCCTTGGACAGCAGCTACCATTGGGTAAGCTGTTATTCCAAAGCGGGAGCTTGCACCCATAAAAATAGGAAAACCAACTTAAATACACCCTGCACCCACATTTATTCTGATCCCTGCTAAGGTCAGGAAGAGGCCGGGCTTTGCAGGTAGGCTCAGGTGCAGACTGGGAACAAGAAACTCAAACGAACCCTGTTTCACCTAAAAGAAAACCAGGCCAAGACCTGTAACATCCTTGTTGCATTTTGCAGAAGTTATTTCAATTGTACTGAGCCGTGTCTGAAATGTCCACAATACAGGATGACTGAGCACCAAAAAGTTTTCCGGGAAGCGAGGGGGGACTGTGTGGCGTGGGCTTTTTTTTAAACTTGACTTTTTAGGTCGCCAGGAAGTTGTATTCAGTTGAGATCTGCGACTTCAGCAAACATCAATTCCTGCACAAATATAGACCTGCTGGTTTCCTGATCGAGCACCCTTTTGATGTCATTTTTAGATAATTGGGCATGGACTTTAACCTCCCTTGTAGCAGTTTTGAATGGATGTAGCTGTATGAAGAGTTTATTTCAGTGAGTCCAGACCAACAATCAACAAAATGCTTTTACTCTTTAAGGCTTTTCTTGCTTGGCAGATAAATTTTTGCTGTTCTTTTTCCCCACCTGGCAGAAAGGCTGAAATCACATGGTAAATATGTCTATCCATGCTCTGCTCTGCAGAGGGAAAACTGCTCTAGTCTTAAAATAAAAGTACTCCTGTGAAGACACTGCACATACCATCTACCTCTGAAAAGCAACCCATCCCAGTAGAGCTGGGGCTCATGCTGACACCTCTGCATGAGGCTGAGCTGGTTTGGGGTCTGGCTCACCAGCTCTCCAGCCTTCCAGGGACAGCACCTCCCCTCCATGACATGGAAGGGTGGCCTTGGAGCTCACCCTCTCCCCAGGCCACTCCAGAGCCCTGGTTGGAGCCACCTGTCTAAATGGAGCTGTGCGTGGGGCTCCCTCAACACCAGACAGGACTTCCCACTGTGCCAGGACCTGGGAGCATCCACATAGAGGATCCACGACTTCAAGCCCCACCTGAGCAGCCCAGGGGAGGGAAGGTGAGATGGGATGCAGATGACAGGGCATCTGCTGAGAAGCAAAGGGCTCTGCCCCTGTCGCTGTGCAGGAGTCACCTGAGCCTGAGCTGTCTCCTCCAGTCCCCACTGTCAGGCAGAAGTGAGGGGTGTGATCCTGCACTCCAGGGGGCTGCTGAGCTGCTGGGCTCTGGGTCAGCAGTTTTCCCTTCACACACCCAGCACATCCCCAGAGGGGGGGCAGGTGCTGTAATCCGTCATCTGCATTTTAAGGATGTAAAAAAATTGTGGATGCAACTTGGCTATTTGTTCCTGTGAAAGCAAGAAGAGTCCTGGAGACGGGTTGCCTGACATTTTTTGCAGATTATTTTTATGCCACTCCTACCCTGAACCAGCGAGGGGAGGTTGGCTCCACCAGGATCAGGACATTGAGTCCATCCTGCCCTCTCTGCTTGCAATTCCACAACTAAAACAGGAGCATGGCACAAAGACATCAGTTGCTGTTGTTAACTCAGCTGTATTGTGAGCATCATGCAAGAAACACTAACATATCCTTCATGGGATGTTCTTGTGCTGGATTCATTCCTGACACTGCAGTGAGAAGAACTGCATGAGAAGAACTCCTCTGACATCAGCCAAGCAAGCCAGGGTAAATGAAGGAAGAACTGAGTTATCCCAGTGCTGGATCATGCCAAAGGCATTGCTCCCAAAACCAATCCATAACCAAGCCATTTTTGCATCTTATATCACGGTGGCATTAGAAGTGAAACACAAGTTCCACTCTTCCAGCTTGGTTTAGCCTCACATTTCGCAGCTCAGCAGAGATCCCAAATCAGGGGGACAGGATGGCTTTTTATTTAAAAGTCAGGCAGTTCTTTCTCCCCTCCCTGCCCTGTATTTTACAGGCCCACAAACCCACATACTCTTCATGTCTTCCAACAAAAAAAACCCCAAGAGTTGAACCGCGGTGGTACTTCTAAAGTTACACACAGTGCACAGAAGTGCCTTAGCCAGTTACAGCAACTTCATTAAAGCAAGCACCTCACCACACAGTCCTCTCTAGCAAGGAGCAAATGGACAGGAGACAACCAGCATCCCCACACCTCCACTCTTTTCCTCCCTTTCCATTTTATCTTCCAAACCTGGCTCTTAGCACTTCCACTTCTCCCCGGCTCACAGGAGCAAAACTGTCTCACTTGAAATGAACTGCTCAGATCCATGTGGAACTTGGGGAA